CTTAATCATATGGCGAACCACGGCCTCTCGTCCGGTTACCAGTCCAGGTCGGGTATGGAATTAATTAGCCAGTTATTTTGTTTTTCGGAAGCATGGACTGTATTCCTAACGCTAAGCACGACACCACCAAGAAGTGGCAATGCAAAGTCGTTTGTTGTGTTTAAGTTAACTGTATTCAACAAGCCCCTCATAATAAGTAGAGATTTCAAAAACTGATCCTTTACTGATTTTCTTGACTTGTTTTATTGTATTTCAGATCCTATGCAGAAACTGATCTACATCCAACAGAGAAATTAAATGGATACAAATTGAGTTTGTGGCATTCATAGCAAGATTTTATCCTCCGCAAATGAGTTGAATATATTCTCCTGTTGAATATAACTCCTGTCACGTTTATATAATCCAGGCGCCTTTTGGGTTAGGCTGGATATATCACATATTGCTTTTGTGGGATTTTTTAATTATCTGGTAATGCAAAATTCCCATAGTGTCAGTGTGAACATGTGGTCAGTTTTTTACTTTAATAAGGTTGATGTTACATGGTTCCTGTTTGTCATTGTGATCTGCTTATCAAATCTGATTTTTTCAAATTTTACTAAATTTTTTAAACTGCATTATCTCTTAATGAATAATTCCAGGGGTATTGGTCTGTTGGTGCCATTTTTTCAATCTTTTACATTTGATTAGCATTTTGATGTCACAAGAAAAATTAACGTTTTTATGTGGCGTCTGTTTATCAATGTCAACTGCCTATTAAATTTGATTTTGATCTTGAAAATATAGAAATACAGCTTGAGAACCAACTTTTTAGATTGACAGTATCTAAATGTATGTGCAGTATAGAGTAAAAATTGACTCAAAATGTTAATATCGCTTTAACAAATTAATTGGATCAACTAGTCCATCATGAAAACCTTGAATCTATTATTGTTTTATAAATTTGGAATGGTCACTCAAAATGGCAGTAAATATATATATTTTAATTAATGTACTTACCGAGAACTCCACACTTGTTTTCGTCACCCATTTTGTACAATACTGTTTCGATAATTGTCCAGAAAAGGTTCGAAGAATTGCCTCAAGTGAAAATTTTTACTTTTTTAAATTCTACCTCATATTTATTTAAATGGTGTTGTTTTGTTATTAACTAAAGTCAAGAATATTCGAAATGAAAATACTTAATTTATAAAATACACTCGTTTCGAATATTTTTAGTGAGTTTTTTTTAAAGTATTCAATTTTCATTTGTTTTACATTACATATTTTGTTAATTTCAGTCAAAAGATAATCGGAATTACAGTTCCATTACTGAAATTTGCCCACTACATTAAGGCCAATCATTTTGCATGATCAAGCAGTCTTTGGAATATTTAAATTTTATGAGACGTTTTCGCACCTCCACTCCCGACAAAGCTTTATACAGAAAGCCATCGATGTGCAATATAGAATTAATTGTGGAAATCCCAGTAATTCTATTCCAATTTCACACTGCAAGTATGTAGACCAACCTAAAAAGACATATCTCGTAAAGCACATTACAACAGGTTTTATAATTCATGAGAAGTACATTGCATTTTATATTGAAATACATTTTTTGTTTGAATTCATTGTGTTTTCGTTTGTCATGTGTATGCCTTGCAGTTCAGGCAATGTAGAGGGTTAATGGGGCCGAGGGCACTATGTTTTGGAGAATAAAGTAGCATATCGTCACGCTAATAACCGAATTGCGTAAGTCATTTTTAGCAGTTTTGAGAAAAACGTGAATAACTTCCTAATGATATTGCTATGCCATTGAGAGTCAATAATTTGCCATGGTTCAATTTTTTGATCAAAGCCGGATTTAAGTTAATTTGTATGAAGCAGTCATATGACGTCATAATGACGCACTGTGACTTAGGCAGAAATTTGTCTATGACTTGGGGTCATACGCATTTTTGCAACTTGACTATATGCAACAGTCCTGAAAATCAAACAATCAAAAAACGAATGTAATTCTTAGTATCTACAATTTCTAATCCCCAAAATAGCTAATCTGTTTCAATTACATTATTTTTTATGTTTACAAATATATATTTCATCACTACAACACGCTCTGCACACCAATCGAAATAAGACTATGATTAAATATAAAGAATAAAACAGCAATGTACCCTTATATAGTAGCCAACCGAGATGAATTGGACTCATACAGTGAATAAATATCACAAGTGCACGACCGCCAAAAAGACTTACGCAATTCGGTTATTAGCGTGACGATACGTGATAACAAGCTTCAGGGCGTATGTATTTTCGGGACATAGGCTCTTTGTATTTTAAAATGAGTAACAGTATATGTGGAAACAGAGGGCGGATTTTCTAATAGTACACAACGTCTCCTTCCGGCTCCCAAAAATCTTTTATGTCATCGTTGACGTTTTTCTAAAGTTTCATTTTTTCACCACAGGATTACAAAAACGGGCAATCAAATCAATTCACAAAACGTCTAATGTACAAAAATATACATGCGCGAATAGATCTAGCCTGGAAAGGTTGCCCGGTTGTTGTCGATCACTGATTTGATATATACGTTTTACGATTATAAGCAAATAATTATAACATGTTTGCATGAAATCGAAAATAAAAATTATTTTTCTTGTCAAATTGAAACGATAATATTGATGGAGGCTAACCAAGGCACCTAAGCGCCCTAGGCTAGGTGAGTAAATCATTTCCAAATTTGTTTTACAACCTCGAACATATTATTTAGTAAAAAATTATATAATTGACGGAATACGATTTTGTAATGCATTTTGCTGATGGTACCTATTTCAAACAGGAGATGAAATAGCTTCATTCCGATATATATTATAGTTATAGTGTTTACTGTAATATAAGGAATTGTGACGATTTCAGCAAAGCTATTAATATTATTTCTCATAAATATAGATAGATATAGATTCCACACACCCTTAACAAATTAACATTTCAAACACCTGTGAAAACATATAAAATTACCTCCATGTAGATCAATTTTGCACATAGTACATGTTTTTCTTACAAACAAATTTATGATTTGATGAGATTTTTGCAAAAATACTTTGTACCATCAAGTTTACATAGGTTTACGTAGTTTGATACAGCGGAAATTGTAATATTTACATATTTTTTTTTGTCAATGTTAATAACAGAATAAAAACTGTAAGTTTTACGCCCTATAAACACCGTGGAATATTAACAGTGCGAGGTGGGGGTGTATCGTTGCGACAAAACAAGCTCTCAAAGCCATTGCTGAATAAATTGCCAAATAAATATTAGTTGAAACAAATATCCATTACTGAAGATTTGGAATATTTAAATTTCGAAATTTTTGTTTTAAGCTCTCTTAAACTTGGTAAAATGTAATAGTTCCTTAATGTCTATCCATGTCCTATTATTAGTTTAGAAAATCTGGTGGCTTTTCAGCTGACCTCCTACTTGAAATTTAAGGCGAGTCCAAAGTGAACTATTCTGTGGTGGTTCACAACCGATCGATAAAACGATTGTTCAAAACTTCAGTAAAATTGGAATATATGTATTTCTAGCAATCACAAGCAAAAGAACCTAACGTAGTAATACCATAACGCAAATCAACCTAAATCCTTGTTTGTTTTGTACCATATACATCAGATTCCACCTAATTTGTTTAGATTAATTTTTTATAGAAACACGGTTTTCATCAAGTATTTTTCGAATGACCTGTCAGTTAAAATTGTTGTAAACAAAGCAATGCAGTCAACGGATCGTTACCACTAGAGATATCTTCGATAAAAATTTTTTTTTTATACAGAAACACTATTTCGTAACGTCGTTTTATACAGTGGTCTTCGTCAGTACAGATTTTGGATTTATCTGGAACCAGTAATGCCCGTGGCGTTTACGTCAACGTAAAATATATACAACGTTGAGTATTCTTAATTAAGAACGTGATATGTCGATAGAATAAAATAAATATATAAATTTTCAGAATCAATAATAGGCTTCGTAGAGTGCAGTAGCTGCACATAAGCTGCAGCAGAGACGTGAATTTGGAACTTATCTAAAATGACTAGATAGATACCTACCTATTCGAAAAAAAAAAGATTCTTAATTAATTAACAGGTGTGTCGTTCAACAATCGAAATCATATCCAATTTGGGCAATTTCCTCGTATAAAAACATCAAGCTTTATGTATTGAACCACTGAAATTACTATTCTTGAATTACGTATCATATTGTTCTGCATTGTATCTTTTTACGCTAAACAATATTGGGTTATTTTGATAATTACACCAGGGTTGAGTTCATTAAATCGCCTATCTGCGCTATACTTCATGGCATATCAGCGCGACCTGCGGCAACGGAGCGGCGTGGCGGCTCTTTGTTCTCGGTGCTCTGGTTTCCTTGAATTAAAGTGGCTACAGCAGTTTTGTATTAGAAGCAGTGGAGATTCAATGAAAGTCGAGGACATAAAGTCGATTGCTACTCACTAATTACACATCACAGCGGGTATATGTCGAAAGCTGTAAAAATAGGTCGCATTAAGATTATTCGAATTTTTCAAAACAAATTTTTCTTCTAGTTTTACAAGTTATCTTCATTTCGTCGTAAACTGAATTATGCATAATTCGTAAATTATTTAGCTTCTTTTTAGTAAGACTTAGATTATTGCTTTACAAGTATGGTTTGCTGGGAGTTTTAATAGCTATTGGCATTAGAGAAAATGTTATGGCTTCGAGTAGGTTTGAGTTTGACGAAAGGGATGCCAAATGGCTCTTTCAATATGCTAAAGGTTGCCGGCCCGTGCTTTATAAATATATTACAGTTTTTAGGTAGAACATGATACATCCATCACTTAATGTAACTGATAATATGCAAGATAAGTTCAAGATATTTCGTGTATATTCAACAATCAAAGTAAGTTAATTCGGAAATATTCATCAGTTTGGCCTTTTGGTAAGAAATTCTCAATATTAACGCATAAAATTATAACATAACAATATTATAACAATATTTTTTTCTATACACAATAGAACGTTTGTTACAGTATTGCAATATTTAAATTGTGCAAGATAGATCAAGAAATCGGTGAAGATGGATATCTATAGATGTATGATTGTTTTCGTCGGCATTTTTGCTATCTGTCATGCAAGTGAGCAATTGTGTAATCTTTGGTATAAGAAATTGATATTATAATTGTATTCATGCAGGAAATTTCAAGCAAGGGGGGATTCTGAAATTTAGGTGCTCCCGAAGTATGTTTACTAAATGGCACACAACCTGAAAATAGTTTTGTACCCGGTTAGGGTTCAGGTTGTGCGTCATATTAGTACGCATACTTCCTGAGCGCCAAAATCTGTAATTGACAAGTTTGACCGGAAGCCGCAAAACGCGAGTTTCTAAGAGAACTGATGTTCTGATAATTGCTTTGTGTGATTCAGAATGTTTTAAGAAATCGAAACTGAATATGCCAGGATTCGTCAGAAACAAGGGCTTCAAATAGAAATTGCGGACTGAATGGATGTTTCCCCGAGCATCGACTTCCTTGTTTACTACGTGACATTGGCGAAGCAGCGTGATGCAAAGAGTGACGTAGTCGCATCTGCTCAGCACTTTTCTCGCTCAAACAGATTACCACTCACATTACCTCGTTTTCGCGTTTTTGAAATCTATTCATTAGTTTTTAGTTAGTGTTTCGAATATTTAAATATATATCGAATAATTCAATGATCACTTTGTCTTCTTAAGAGTTCCAGTTTAATTGCAGTAATCAAAAATTAGTGTAGAAATAGCTGCTAAAATTCGATACCGGTACTTTTACAAAATATATTGTTGAATGCTATGAATCAGAATGATGGTTTGAAACAAAAATACCCCATCATACTTCGCCAACTCGCAAAACCACTCTTTAAATAAGCACCGACAATTTTGCAATGGTAAAGTATAGGAGGAATTTTACAAGAGTCAAAGGCTGGGGAAAGGCCACAATCACGTCGTTTCTGCTTGACGTCATTCGGAGCCATAAAGTTTTGTGCGCTTATTCGGCGCGTGGCAAGTCGCGCCTATTAGTTGTCGTTTTTTTAGACATTCTAAAAGGGGAGAAGGGGTTAGACATTGTTAGAAAATTGCCGATCAGTATGTGCTAGTATATTAACTTATTGTCCATGGATAGGATGAGATTTTCAAATTTATTCCGGGGAGACAAAAGGACATACTACGGCTCATATAGCGTACCACAGTATCTTGTTTGGTTACCAGTCTAGCTCGGGTATGGAATAAATTAGCCAGTTATTTGTTTCAGACGCATGGACTTGATGGTAGAAGATTGCTGGACTTCCCTTTTACCAGCTGATTGAAATTCACCTATTCACCAAATCCATTTTGACTTTATCGAAAAAAAAAGTGACATACAAAAATCTATATTTCGATACATTCCCTGGAATTGTAAATTTTCAACCGTACTATTAAAATTATTTTTCAAACATTATTCATGAAGAATGTTGGCCAAGATCAAACTGGGCAAGACTGAGAATTGATACTGCCAATGTTGTGGATCTTACGCATGAAATGAATGAAACTTCGTCATTGTGGCCGACTATTACGGAATATGGATTCAAAATGATGGATATATTCAAAGGTTTACTTTAGTTTATGATGTTTGTTGGATCAATAGTTCATGTACCGGCAAATTAGTATTTATTAGTGGCGTATATATGTATTTGCGGATAAACTCCAGATATATATTTATATTTACTCCACATAAGATTCAGATATTTATTTCCGTCGTACATAACATATTGTACAATTAAACAATAACAGTAATACAATATTTCGACCGCAATGGAACGTTTATTTTCAAGAAAATATCATTTTCTTATCGTGTATCGTTTACACGGTATGATAATTTCGTTACCCCAACATTTAGATCATTTTTTAAATATTTCAGTAAACCTATATATCAGACAAACATATTATTTGATGAATTAAGCAAATGAAACGTTTTGATTATTGAAAAACGCCGATATCCCGCCCGTTCAGTTGATTAAAGTCCATGTGCCCCATAGTTCATATTACTTATACCCATTCTTGTATTGTGAATTGATTTATTTTTTTCATTTTATAGGAATTCTCACAAATGGACCGTTTAAGTTCTTTCTTTATTCAAATTATTTCACAACAAATTCGTTAACGGGCACTCATGCAGATGCACCACTTCAATTCAATGAATTGGGAAAATCGGTAAAATATTCATATAAGTTTATTCACTTTTTTTTAATTTAGGAGCGGCAGGTGTGTCGAGTATTTATGTAGAGATTATCTTCAACAATTCAATTTGAAAAACCTCTAAAGTAGATAATTGTAGTTAGTGCAATTAGCTAATCGGCTTATTACAATAAAATTCCGTATCATTGTATCGGAATTTTTTTGGGAAATAAACTGTATTGGACACTAAGATGGTGGTAAGGTTACGACATCGAAAATTTAGCAATAGTGATAAGCTTTAGGAATTGTGAAAATGCCCTACAAATATTTTGACACAACGTAGAATACAATCCTGTGTGTAAAATTCAAGTAAAATACCCCGATCTGGGCCTGACATGTCTACATAATATAAAGCAATTTTTTCATTTGTTTGCAAAAATAAGAATTTGTTGGAGTCTTGCATTTTCCCACCCCAACACTTGATTACCCTTTTTATATCAGGCAAAAGATTTTGAAATGAAAGAGATGATCGCCCCAGGCGTGGTGATTGATTTAGTCAAGGATGGCGATCCTGTGCCGAGAACATCATTTATCTCAAAAGCAGATATAAAAGCATGGGAGAGAAAGCATGGTGTGATTTTCCATCCTATAGTGTAAATTCATGACGTAGACTCACTTTAAATCAGTCATATACGATATATATATATATGCTTTGTTTTTAGCATATATGTTCATCTATCCCGCAAATATTTTCAATTACATGTCGAGAGTTTTATTTGTCAATTTCTCGCGACAAGTTAATTTTGATGCCAATATATATTTATCATTAACAATTCTGCAGGACGAATTCGCTCTGGAACAATTGTTTTATTCCGCACGGGGTACGGTCAATACTACTGGAGCGATAGAGATGCTTATCTCGGAACAAAGTTTCGTGGTCTAGACGCTCGGTATGTTCTTCAGACTCCGGGTATTGATCCAGAAGCAGCGAAATGGCTACTTGAAGAGAGATGTATTGCTGCTGTGGGGATTGATAATTACACTGTTGATAACGGACAAGATCACGGATTTCAGTAAGATTGTTTTTAATAAGCTTCAAATTAGATCTAGAAGAGATATTATCATATAAAACCTAAATTTTATAGACAGTTTTGCAGAACGAATTCAAATAGGAAATGTTTGTAATTAAGAAGTGTTTGATTTGATAGGAATACGACCTGTTGTAAAAATTTAAACCTAGTATCAGTGTATTTAGAACAGACAATAATGAACGCAAATTTTGATACCTTTTATTTGGGTCTTGTTGTATATAGATTTCAGCAGGTTAAGCTACATTTTTGTTTCAATTACAGCACACATAAAGTCTTCGCTGATGCTAACGTTGCTGTTTATGAAGACCTGGCGAATTTAGAAAAATTACTGGATAAACCAAAGGGATTTTATGTTTTTGCGATGCCATTGAAGATTAAAAATGGTGTTGGATCACCTGCAAGAATTATTGCATTTTTGCAAAACTAAGTTGAAAATCATAGGAAATGAGTCGGATATTTCTGAACATTGAGGTTTCCAAAATATTCAAAATTATTCACATTCCATGCTGAAAGCTAGAATTATATTATGATGCTTAGAATTTGTGAAATGTATATACCCAGTAAAAAAATGTTTAATTGTTTGCTGTAAATGTAATTATTCAATGAAAGAAATTGTAGTAATTTTGCAATAATGGCAATTTGCACCCAAGGTTGGGAATATCCCAAGTTAGTTGACTTGACGGCAATCACATCAATCCTAACAAAAATACTGATGCTGTCAATCGAATCATTAACTAATTTAGTTATATTATCCAATTTAAAGGCCCTCTATAATTTTTTCTTTACAGCCCAAATTCTTTCTACTTGTTTCCCATTCCCACATGAATAAAGTTGGTTCGAACAATCATCGACTCTGCGCAGCGTTTTTGAGGAGAGATTTGATTTAAATTGAGCAAGTTTGTTGCTCGGTTCAGAATTTATCGGAAAAACTTGTAAACATGATGAGATGATTTAATGCCACGTGGGATTAGTGTAATGTTATTTGGGCTAAGTGTTTAGATCAGTTTTCTCAACCTTAGAGTCGCATGCTCTCAACTATACTTCCTGAGGCTATCATTATCCTTTAATAAAAGTTAATTAATTTCAGTGAAAATTATTCTTTGAAAACGGGAATACCCATGTTTAAAAGAAACCGTTAATGATAAAGATGAAGTGCTTTGCAATCATTGCGCGGCTAAATTCAAATTATTTCGTATCAATAATGTCAATTTTGTTTCTATTTTTCGAACTGAAACCGATATTTAGACAGAGAATATGCGCACCAACTCTCGATGATGACAGTCGGGATGGCTTTAAGTGTAGGTCTATGACTATGTAGTGAAATCGGAAAATGTAAAATTAAAAATCACAGCTAAAGGCCTTTTCGGAGAAGTCCCGCTTTGAAGTCACGAAAATATGGTAATCCTATACATAAGCGACATGCCTAGGTGTCTAGACTCCTCTGAGTCGATCATGTTTGCTGATGACACTGATTTGATTTTTTTGAGACAAGAGAGCTACGCTCAAATATATGGACACGTCTGTTCGCGGTACAGTACGGTCAGATCACAGTCTACAAATGTATTCACACCAAGCGAAGCAGTACAGTAGGACACAAATTGGCGTCCGATATCCGCAGAACGTTTAATGACGTCATAGCAAACAAAAACAAATCTCACAGAGCAGAAATATTTAAAATGAATAAAAGTAATAGCCTTCTGGCGAAAGATTTTTTTTAAAATGATGGAGACAAATAATAATAACAACAAAATTTTGAAACGATCGTTATGTCCACTACATGTCCAAAAAATATGGAACAACTATTCACAGTTGCGAACAAAGACTTGGCTAACGTTCATAGCTGGATGTTGGTTTATAAATTGTTCTTCAATGCCAAAAAGACTAAATTTGTTTTATTCCATCAGAGCAAACATAGGAATGAGAGTTGCTTAAACCCTTTATTGCTCAATGGCAAAGAAATCGAAAGAGTGAGTGAAATATTCTTAGGAGTTGTCTTCAATGAAAATTTTTCATGGAAGTCAAAACTTGTTCATGTTATTAGAGAAACCAAAAGAAACTTGGCAGTCGCTACCCAGTATCCCAGTGTGTCAATCAACCAGCTCTTCTAGCAAGGTTTCAATCATTGTTACTAAGTCACATTCGATACTGTTGCTCAGTCTGGATCCACGGAAACAAAACACTCATCTTAAAATTGTAATTTTTATTACATTTTGTATAAAGTATTTGTAATAATTTTTTAAGAATTTTTTTTTTTGGTAAAAGGATATCTGTAGACCATTACTTCAAATCACTAAATATACTTAAGGGAGAGGATATGATGAAATTTGAAGTATTATCATTAGCCCACAACTTTCATAATGATATTCTATACCAAACTGCTTCGACGACCTACTTCAAAAATATCTCCAACCGATAAAGTAATTTTGATTTGTTCATGCCTTTCATGAGTAAATCTGTGTGTCAGCATTCCTTGTCTTTTACTGAACCAAAACTTAGGAGTTCCCTTCCCTTCAATTTGAAGACCTTGAAGTCCACCAAACCTTCTCAAAAACAAGTCAAGTCTCATTTAGTTCCCAAATATTAAAAATTACTGTTTGGAACTGATATTTCTCCTTTTTGTATTAAATTAACCACAACGTATTGATGAAGATAATTTTGAAGCAAATACCGTAAATATCAAATTTCAAGACAAATAAACTTTTGGTGATGGTCGATGACAGTAAGTTGGGGCACTTCACACTGGCACATGGTTGTTTTCACGAGAATGTTGGACAGCTACAATGATACTGTTCCTATAACTCTAGTTACTGTGATTAGCCGTACAGTTGAACCAATCTGCATCCATTTTTATCACTTTTGTTTTAATCCTAGTCTCGTACTAAAACACTGGTAATGGGACATGCATGGCTATGTTTGTTTTATCACAAGGTGACTGACATACCTAGATGGTACTTTCTTTGAATAGCTGTGCACATTTAAATTTCTTCATGCGCATGTTCTCAACTATTTTCCTGATGTCTCAAATGAAAAAACGAGAATATCGGCCAGAGACCTAAGACTTATCGATCGAAAGTTAGGGGATCCCCCAAAACAGCGCTCTCATTCCATAGTGACACCTTGCGTTCCATCACTAATTACTTAATAACTCGCTAATTATACGACATAATTCGCCCAAAATCAATAGGCTTCTGGTACGACAGATGATGAATGCACATGCAAAATGTGGAGCAGATTCAAACTCGTTTTCGTGAGATATCGCGTGCATTTAACAGACAAACAGACAAAAACCTATCAACATAGTTACCGATTAAAATCGATAAGTAAAAACCTAATAAAAAAAATTAAACAATAACTCTGATAAATCCATCATATTATTTCGAAGTGATCCTGCCAACAAATGTTAATTTCATAACTTTGTCTGGAGTCAGTGCCAAGAAATGAAAAAACCCCTTACTTACACCCTTTGTAACCAAAAATTCCCATATTCTATTGCCCTACCCTATTAATTTAATTAACTTATACTGTTATCGGTAACTTCAAGTAGCCTACTTATTACCATCTGGACTATAATGTGGTAGTATTTGACTCTAATTTGGGGAATACGAGGTGATGCGTCAAACAAGGTGTCTGTGGTGGAAAGTGTGGATAAAGACGAGTGGGATGACTGAACAACGTTTTGTGGTTCCACTGCAATCTAGTTTATCAATAAATGTTGAACTTTAAACTGGAAACGATAATCCGTTTTGTGCGGTATTTTATTACATATATATATTTCATATGGAGTATACATTTAAAATCACCATTTTATAGCCTATGTATTATACATGCATCTAACTCCACGAAAATGTTTCAATTTACCTGTGAAAATATATGGAAAGTATCACTCAGCTATTTTGTCTCTAGTTTGTAAATAGTGTGTGGCTCATCGTGCTAAGCGTTAGGAATACGACCGCCACCGCATGAGTTCGCAGGTTCGAATCCCATGCGGGGAGAGGTATGTGCGAAGGGATTGCTGGACTCCTCGTCGCCGTAGGGTGATTCACGTAACCGCTGTTCGGTTGCGGCTTTCTCCACCATCAAGTCCATGGTTTTGAAAACAAAAACCTAACTCATCCCAAACCCGACATGTATTAGTAACCGGGCGAGAGGCCGTGGTTCGCCATTTGGTTTAGCAGTGTTATCGGCCTTTCTCTCCCCTTGGATAAATATGTATATCCTATCCCATCCCATAGCCCATCTCTTCATGTACCCAATTCTGGTTGGTCAATTTGGCATTTGACTCCAACTTCAATCAGCTTGGCAATATATTTTTAAGAACAGTTTTTCTTTACTGTTCACTCACGTTTAGAAAATCGACCAATTTGGCAGCCGCAACCAATTTTAATATGGTGTGGTGTGCAAGTAATTTTCATTCATTTTGTTTTTGTTTACTATGTAACTTCTTTTCTTACTTTATAAAATCTCTGTGGTTGTGTGTCTGTGCGTGTGTGTAAATAAATTTAATAGTTTTGGGTGAGTGAATCCGTACCACTTCTATTTGGTAAAACCTTCCATCTCATATATACATTCTGTACGTTTTAAACCTTATCCAAAGTTTTGTTTGCTCTTTCTGATTTCATAATCATTTTTTATTTATTTGTTTTTATCAATAATTTTATTGCCTGTTATGCTGATTATGGAGTCGAAATAAACTTATACTTATATTTTGTTACAAGCGAACTGACAGGCGATTGTGGCAACAATAAAAATATCGGATCAAATGGGAATCAGATTTAATTTTAAAAAAATATTAGCTTTTTGGTGACTTCTTTCATCTTTAAGTGCTACAAATTCTAATTTGTGTTTTACAAATGCGGATTTTTCTCCAACAAAAATGGACATTTCATGTCCGATAAAAGGAAATAGAGGCTAGCAAACATATCATAAGCAGGAAGAATTAACAAGGAACTAGACGGCATTGCAGTATTTAGTGATTGTTATCCATAGACGAGATTGAGTATTCTATCCCCACAACTTCTTTATTCTAATGCGAATACCAGACTTTGCAGAAACTGCAAAGATTTTTTGGCAGAAATTTCCCTACTGTCCAGTTCACAGGCTCATCCGTCTAAGGTTTAAACGGTTCGATATTCTTCGCTTGAGTTTAGTGAGATAGAATAAGTTGTACTGATGGAATAGGATTTGCATATTTATCCCGGGAAGAGAGAGCCGATAAGTCGCCTCAATCATATGGCGAACCACGGCCTCTCGTCCGGTTACCATTCTATGTCGGGTATGTGATTAGTTAGTTATTTGTTTTCAGAAGCATGAACTTGATGGTGGAGGAATTCGTAACCGACCAGCGCTTATGTGAACCACCCTACGACGGCAAATCCAGCAATCATCTCGCACATAACCATCCCCGCATTGGATTCGAACCTGCGAACCCACGCAAAGTAATCAGACGCGCGGTCTCAAGCGTATTCCCAAAGCTTCCCACGATGAGCCATACCGCCGCGCCTTGATCACTGTGATGGCATTACAAAAATCCTTGCCGGACCTCTCGTTTGTTGTTGCCGATCTCGATAAATGCTCAACGATGCTTCCTGGCTGGAATTTCTCTTCCATGAGAAAGGAAACACAGACCGCAGCCTCAGCCACCCTAGTGGATTCCAAAAAGAATTAAGATATCATTGATGTTGAATTTCCTTGGGATTAACTCAAATTTCGCAAAGTGAGTTCAAATTTATTTCAGCTGCTCAAATACGGCACTAGGATCACGAACTCAATTTCTTCACAGCAACACTAGCAATTTAAAGGAAGATAGTTTTTTGTTACTGAACCTCATCTTTCAAATTCTCTTTTTTTCTGGAAAAAAGTTCGGAGAAAATATTTTGAGGCTAAAATATTATTCAACTGACAAAAATAATTTATATTCTGAAAAAGTTTAACGCGGTCAACCCGGTTTTGATTCAATGTACAAAAACTTATTTGAAACTAGTAATTCTCGATAATGAATTTCACTCAATATGGGCATTTTTGAATTCAAAACTATATTTTGAAGCTTATTTGCAAAATTTGTTCCCGCATAATTATTTTTTAGAAAACAAGTAATATTTTGTCAATAGTTTCGGCCAACAATTTTGTTTTGGAAAATCAAAACAAAACATATTTAACATTTATGTACTAGATAAATTTTTTCATGTGTCATTCAAAACTTTCTCATATATATGAACTAAGGTAAAAACTATAAGAGAAATGATAATTCGGTTCATATATATGGACACGTAAATTGTTGTTTTGCAAAGTCAACAACACCCAATGAATAATTTGCTAATTAAATCCACTGGCGACGATTTTATTTACGTTTTCAAATATATTTCAAAACATAGTATATATACGGTAAAACTTGACGAAAAAATATAAAATTTGCAAGATACCTATGTTCAAATACATGGACCCGTAACAAGGTGTCGCTATTTTTTATTCTGACACATCAAAAACGAATCTCTTGAAGTCCACAGAATTTTTTGAAATTAGTAAAAGTGATGACTTTCTGGCAAAAATAGATAGATAGATAGATAGAAGTTTATTCATCATCCAGTCATCAGCCAATAAACCAAACACAAACAACAACATACGATAGGTAAAAGAAGAATAAATCGACTAACAACGGAATTGATAGGAGGTTGGAAGGACCATACGGTCACTAAATCGAAACAACTCTCCTGACATAAAAAAGGTTGACAGATTACATTTTATATTATACCAATTATAAAACATTTTAACTTGTTGTAACTAACAATTGAGCAACAAGAGTAGTGTGACACATATTGAGACAAATTTAAAATAGAAGCGGCAAGAAAAAGCGTTTAGTTTTATATCACACAAAATAAAAACGTACAAGTAGAAAAGTTATGAATCAGTACTTATTCAGAAAAGACTGGAAATACTTCTTGGAAAAAACATTAAAACTGGGAATTTCCTTTAGGTTTTCGTTAATATCGTTCCAAATTCTCACACCCTGGTACTTTATGGAATTTTGGGCCCGCGAGGATGAAAATCGTGGTACAAATAATCCTCCCTTTCGAGATGAACGAGTACCATATGTATGTGCATTTTTTGTTGTAACAAAATATTGTTGTATTACGCGAGGGGCAGTGTTATTTACCGCTTGATACATGAGCCTTCCCATTTCATAAAAATATAGATCTTTTATTTTAAGAATACCAAGGATTTTGTAATAACTACTCAAATTTGCCCAGCGTGGCACCCCGCAGATGGCTCGAATTGCTTTATTTTGGATTAGCTGTAATTTGTTAAGACTGGTTTTGTCACAACAACCCCAAGTTACGATACCATACAGAATACAAGAATGAAATAATGAATAGTAAATGATTTTTAAAGCATGCAATGTCAAATAGTGTCTAAGTTTGAACATAATCCCAGTCACTCTTGATAACTTGCTATATAGATATTCAGTATGAGCATGCCATTTAAATTTGTTGTCAATAATTATCCCAAGATATTTCATGCATGACACTTCAATTAACATTTTATCACCAAAAGATACATGGAAACCTTTTTTTTTTTTTTAGGTGAGAAAGCATATAGGTCGATTTAGAATAATTACAGTCAATTTATTTGCTCTCATCCAGGCATCCACTTTGCTTATTTCATTATTTATGAGAATTTGAAGAATATGAGGGCAGTGGTGGCTTTTAGCAATACATGTGTCATCAGCAAACATTCTGGTGTCACTATTGGTAGCATTATTTAAATCATTAACATAGATTATAAAAAGTAAAGGCCCCAAAATTGAGCCCTGTGGAACTCCGCAAGATATTGGGAGATATTGTGAAGTTGTGGAATCTAATTTGACATATTGACTTCGCTGCCACAGGTAGCTAGTCAGTAATTTACCAGCAACACCACGAATACCATACATGGACAGTTTGGTTAGCAAAATAGAATGATTTACAGTATCGAAAGCTTTCGATAAGTCAAGAAAAACATTACAATTAATTTTATTGTTCTCTAAGTCATCCATAGCAGATGTCATGATATCAAGCACGGCATGGGTGGTACTACAGCCCTCACGGAAACCAAATTGATAGTCACTTATAACATTGTGCTTGTCAAAAAATAGTTTTAAGCGTGTGTAAATCAAATGTTCAAAAATTTTGGAAATAGAGGAGAGTACAGAAATGGGACGATAATTTGACAAAACTTTACGATCTCCAGCTTTGTGGAGTGGTGTTACTCTGGCAATTTTAAAAATTGATGGAAAAATCCCATTTTTTATACACAAAGAAAACAGACTTGCTAAGTAGGGAGATATAATATCAGCTGTAAACTCAATGAATTTTGGTGGAATATTATCAGGCCCAATAGCCTTGTTTATATTAATTTTGGTTAGTTCAGCTAATAGTTCATTTTCACTCACTGGTTCCAGATAAACGGTACTTTTGACCTGCCTTTGCACATAGTGTTTGAAAACATCAGAATTCGGAAGCTTGGACGAAAGAGAATTTCCAATAGACACAAAATAGTTGTTGAAACAATTGGTTATTTCCAATGGATTTTTAACAATGGAACCATTTCCATTTAGAATTTCTTCAGGGAAAGATAAATTCCTTTTGGGCGAGATTAAGGACTTTATTGTCTTCCAAGTTTCCTTAAAATTAGATTTGCTTTCTTTAAATTTGTTTGTATAATATACTCGCTTTGCTTCTTCAATAGAACGCTGAACAGTTTTGGCATATTTCTTATAGTGAGCTTTTTGGTCCAATGAACCAGAGATGAAGTGAGACTTGTACAAAGAATTCCTGTGATTGATTGATTTGAGTAGATTATGACTGAGCCATGGTTTTGACAGCAGTGTCATCTGCTTACGACTCAACTTGCGAATTGGTGCATGTTTGTCAATTAAGCGTTTGAACGTATCTATAAATTCTGCACTAAGTTGTTCAAGCTGTGATGGAGTTGAATTTTCATCTGGTAGTATGGAAAAGTTGTCGAAGACTTCACTTCTGAAGTTATCCAAATTAAAAATTTTCATACAATGTTTTCTAGGTCTTTTTGAATTTTTATCAAGAGTGTTCATTTTGCTCAGACAAAATACAGGGAAATGGTCGGAAATATCGCTCAATAATATTCCTGGTACAAGATTGGCATTTAGACAATTTGTGTAAATATGATCAATTAGGGTCGATGAAGTGTCTGTCACTCTAGTTGGTTGGCAAATTAATTGAAACGAGAAATTTGATTGAAGCATGTTCACATAATCAAGAATATTCTTGCTATTTGACTGCAGCAAATTGATATTCATATCTCCCAAAATATAATAATGACAGTTTTTTCGATTTAGCGAACACAACATTTGGTGCTCCCGAAGTATGCGAACCAAGTTGGCGGACATCGGAACGTAACATGGGTAACAGGTTAGGGTTAGGCAATAATTTTTTTCCAATTTTCCTTATTTTAGTCCTATTATCAGTTCGAATACTAGCCAAAAGCCTCCCGTAGTATTCATACCTGAAATATGACCTAACCCTAACCTAGTACACATGTTACATTCCGATGTCCGCCATCTTGGTTCGCATACTTCGGGAGCCCCCAACATTTCATCCATGAATTCCAAGAACTTCACGTTATCTTGTCTAGGATGCCTGTACACTGACCCTAGTATTACAGATTTGTTTGATTGTTTTTGTTCCAATTCCAGCCAAATACTTTCATAATCCAAGCTTTCTTGACCTGGGAAGTTCAAAATATTATATTTCTTATTTCCAAGGATATAGAATCCCACACCACCAGCATTGGTCCTGGAATTAATATTCACAAAATTGTAGTGTGGAAGCTGAATGTTCAAAGTAGAATGGTCGGTGAGCTTTGTCTCAGTTATAGCAATTGCAGTTGGAAGATGATTGAATTGACATAACAAACTCTGAAGTGAGTCAACATTCTTCTGCAAAGATCTGACATTCATATGTATTAAGAAAAACCGCTTTGATGTTAAGATACTGTTAACATCTTCAACTGTCATATATTCAGATACATTTCTATTCGGATACACATTATTTGGTTCATCAGATAAATATGATGATAGTGAATCCTTAGTTAGAACACAGTTGAAAGCCTTTCAAGACATGTCCATTTATCCACCAAAGTGAACAAGAATATAAAAGCAGCAAGGTAATGGTGTATATTTCCCAAAAAGAAAATCTGAACTTGATAACTTTTGCTTTTCTGTTGAAACATATACAATGCATATGCAATTTTAACAAATCTTTAGAAGACTTTTCTGATTCATCACTTTAAGAACTCTTGCCTTAGGAGTTTTGCGTACCAATATATCACCACTATTTGTCCATATAAACTTGTAGCCATTGGATTTTACCAGGCTTTTTGCTTCTTTGAATAGAGCTCTCCTTTGTTTTGTTAGATTTTCTCGAATAGATAAGTACCAAGCATCTCCTGCATTATTCTTAAATTGCTTCTGTATATTTTTTCGGCCGCTGAAAATTTTGTCACGAAGATTCACATCAAAAAACTTGACCATGATAATTGGGGGATAAATGGACTTGTCAGAAATTTTCAATCTATAAGAATTTTCAATGGATGATGGCTTTATTTCTACACCAGCCATTCTAGCAACATCCTTCACAATCACCATAGTGTTTTCATTCTGCATAACAGGATAGCCATGTATTTCAAGGAGATTTCTCCTGTTTGACTGATCCATCTCATCTATTGTTTGTCTGTATTGTTGTTCATTCTTTTGAAATTCAGATATATTTTGCTTCAGAAGATTTATATCAGACTGGCAGTCATCCATTAGCTTTTGCAGTTTATTTATCTTACATTCCTGTTCTTTGAATTCATTCATTACATATTCTTGTGAGGAAATGATATCTGTTAGGATGACTTTGGTCTGTGAATCCTGAGACTTTGTGACTTGTTCAACATCCATCAATTTTCTACAGTTGATTTCTACCAATGCTTTGATTTCATTTTTCAGCATCTGCATAATGTCCTTCTTCAGGCCTTCAACTAATGAGGAAAATTGTGGAGTACTACACCAACTGTCCCCGAAAGTTTTTTCAAAAACTGATGTTGTTGATTCAGATCGCTGAGCAAAACAAATGTTGTCTTCACTTTTAGCCACATTCATCATGAAGTCAATTACAACAAAATAGTATATAAAGTATTTCAATAGTAACCTTAATCAAACCTTAATCAAACAGCGAATAATGAATGAAATAATGAATAATGAATAAAATATCAATCTTTAACTACTGAAAATTTCAAAGCAATGGACCTTTCCCCGAGCATCGACTTCCTTGTTTACTTCTTGACATTGGCCAATCAGCAAATTGCAAAAAGTGATGTAACAATGCTCCCTTTTCGCATCCGCTCAGACACTTTTCTCACTCAGATTTTCAAGCGTGGTCGTAAACATTATCTCGTTTTCGCATTTTTGAACTCTATTCGTTAGTTTTCAGTTGTGGTTTGTAAACTTAAATGTAAATCAGATAATTTAATGGTCACCCTGTCTTCCTAGGAGTTTTAATTTAATTGCAGTAAAAAAATATTTGTGTAGAAATAGCTGTGATAGACTAGGCTAAAATTCTTTAACGGTACTTTTAAAAACAGATTGTTGTAAGCGATGAATCATAATGATGGTTTGAAACATATACCTCATTTCACAGGCGCCAACTAGCAAAAGCACTCACAAAATAGCCCCGAAAATTTTGCAATGGTAGAGAATAGGAAAAATTTCTAGGGGGTCAAAGGTCGGGGAAAGGTCCATTGGTCCAGTAATCAAAAAAAAAAGCGACTTTTTAAAAACGTGTCAAAGAACAAGAACATAATATTGAAACGATCGTTATGTCCACTGACGTATTCAATAAATACAATGCTAAGCTATGGATCTTTACCCAAGCATCGACTTCTTTCTTTGCTTCGTGACATTTTGTCAAACAGCAAGATGCAAAAAGTGACGTAACAATGCTCTCTTTTCGCATCCACTCAGACACTTTTCTCACTCAAGACAGATTTTCAAGGGTGGTCGCAAATATTACCTCGTTTTCGCGCTTTTGAACTCTATTTGTTAGTTTTCAGTTGTGTTTCGGAAACTTAAATATAAATCAGATAATTCAATGATCACTATCTCTTCCTAGGAGTTTTAATTTAATTGCAGTAATAAAAAATTTGTGTAGAACTAGCTGTGATGGACTACGCAAAAATTCTTTACCGGTACTTTTAAAAAACAGATTGTTGTATGCGATGAATCATAATGATGGTTTGAAACACATACCCCATTTTACAGGCGCCAACTCGCATAAGCACTCCTAAAATAGTCCCGAAAATTTTGCAATTGTAAAGTATAAAAAGTATTTTTCGGGGGTTAAAGGTCGGGGAAGGTCCACAGGATTTAAAAAAAATCTATATGTTACTGCATTGAAAGTTGTTCCGACAATGTTACCTGGTGGAATGGTGCTGATGTGTGAGCTGTACATAATTTTGGCATTTCATTGGCCGCTGTACTAAAAGGGTGAAATAGATTAACAGTTATAGGATATGCGGTGTAGCGCATCGTGCTAAGCGTTAGAAATACGCTTGCCACCACACCTCTGATTACTGGATTAGGTTCCCCCTGCCTGTGCCTGCGTCACTGTCAGACTGTGTCTGTGTGTGGTTTTCAATCCCACACAGGGCAGCAGGGGTAGTTATCGTATGTGCGAGAGGATCGTTTGACTCCTTGCCATCATACAGTCGTAGCTTCGTAGGGTGGTTCACATAATAACCGCTGGTCAATTGCGGCTTCCTCCACCATCAGGCATCGGCGGTGTAGCGAATCGTGCTAAGCGCTAGAAATACGCTCACCACCGCATCTCTGATTACCCTTCGTGGGTTTGCACTGCAGGTTCGAATCCCATGCGGGGATGATCATGTGCGAGAGGATTACTGGCAGACTGGACTCCTCGCCGCTGCAGGGTGGTTTACATAACCGGTGGCCGGTTACGGCTTCCTCCACCATCAAGTCCATGCTTTCGAAAACAAAATAACTGGCTAACTAATCCCATATCCGACCTGGAATGGTAACCGGACGAGAGGCCGTGGTTCACATATGATTATGCCGCCTTATTGATTTTCCTCTCCCCTGGGATAAATATATAAATCCTATCCTGTCAAGGGCGGGTCTCATGTAGTTTCGTACCTAACATACTTCTAGTGGGCGTAGCATAACAATTTTTTCCCTGTACCAATCCTAACCCCCACCTGACTTTGTCATTCAAAAATTACGTCACAGTGACGTAATAGAGCCCTTCCAAACCATACGAACTGCCATCCAAGACAACACCCGAAATCGAACAGCTATTTCTCTTGTTTTCTCGTCACTACAATCCCAATAGGATAGTGATCGGTGACGTTAAGTCAGTTCTTTATCGTCGGCGCCGATGCCATTTTGGGCGATCGAACGTATATTCGGCAAGCTCTATGACGTGATTGTGATGTCGATGCAGCCCGGGGTAAAATGTAAATCATATGCTTTTCTAAGTCAGTACAGAAGTACGGTGACAGACACACTTAACATTACAACTTTGTGTACTGACTGACTGAACTGACTTTCAACAATTTTTAATTTACATAACAGCATAAGCAGATTTGCCAAACGGAAATTTTAAAGCTCTAATTGCTGAATTGGGAAAGTGATTGATTCGTTAATGTCTGAATGAATTGAAAGTGTGAAAAAAATGAGCACATCTGATCGAAATGTAACGTCTCGTACTGAGTTGTGGAACTTATTTGAAAACCATTTTCCATCAATTGTCGAGCAATTGATAAAAGCACCCCCATCTCTCAATGGAGATAAAGATAGCAGTATTATGTGGAGTTATGAAAGAATTGAGGTAAGCTGTTGTAGTCTATGGTTATATTTCTGTTTTCTTTATAAGAAGTTTCATTCATAAGTTTACTTATTTCTGTTTTATTTATACAGTTATATGTATAAAAATATGACACCCAATCAGGCCTGGTTAACACTTGGCCAGTTTTCAATTTTTAAGTTTGTAATTGGCAGCTACACAAGTTGATTTTCTGAATCAATGTATTAATAAAAATATGCAACTTTAGGACTGAGAACCCCAAATAGGATATATTTAAAATGGTATCTATACTAGCAGTACGGCACACTATCCAAATTCCAAGAATTTCCCTCCATTCGGTTAAATGAATCAAACACTCAATGTGTCTCACAAACGAGGAGCGTCTGGCACCATGTCAAATGCGTCATATCGCGCCATGCTTGTCTAAATTAATCGCGGTCGTCACATGACCAAAATGGCTGTTTTTTGCTAATAACTCTCTAAAGCCACCGTAAAAAAAATTTCCCTTCAGTAAATCGGAATATTTTTTTTCTGAGGAATTCAAGGATGACGTTATTAGATTGCACTTTTTTGTAGTATTTTGTGTATCTTCATTATACTGTATTTTTACCGATATTGGGGGACAACAATTCCAGACGTCCTCCAAAAGGAGGGGTGTGTGTGTCTGATCATCGGTAAAATGAGTTTCTCTGAAACGAGACAATGTCGCTCAATCTGTTTAGTGTGCCGTACTGACTAGTGTGATACAGCTCTCCGGTTCCAAGCATAAACCCTATATTTGAAGGCATCAGTTATAACTGTCAACACAAACCACTGGCAGATGACTCTGCCACCTCCATATCGCCACAAAATCGCAAACAAAGCAGTATGCTCAATAAACTAAAAAACCAATTCATTCTAAAATTGGCAGTTTGGTACCATTCGATTTTTCATAATTAGTTCGTCGCATGAATTTTATTCATGTGATGGCGATGTGTGTCGTGATTAAATCATATTAATATTGCAGCAAACCATGAAAAATGATAGAATCTTATGTCACGATTAAACTAAATTCTGTTGCTTTTGATTTCAGGAACTTTTGAACTACAATGCCAGATCCGGGAAGAGGATGAGAGGTTTGGCAACTGTGTCAACTTATCTTCATATTATGGGGAAAGATAACGTAAAAGAAGAGGATCTAAAAATTGCTTTATCTCTCGGATGGGCAATTGAAATTGTAAGAATTAGCTCATATTATACAATCGGTCATTTTTAATAATTTTCATATATAGATGAAATTTAAGCAAATTGTTATTAAATGAGGAATTATATCCTCTAATGTAATGTAATATCAAGCAAGCATGTGTTGAAAAGGTACATACAATAAAACCATGAAATTCACTCAAAAAATTCACCCAAAAAAGACTTTATGAGACCTAATCACCATCAAGAATGAGGAAAGTTGAAAGCCAAAAAGTTTCTACTGTACCTATTTATAATAATATTGAATATATTCTGTATTAGACCATTTCCAAATATAAATTATAAAAGACAAGGTACGGCCTATTCGATTGTGTTTGTATTTGTCAATGATTTATTGGAAATCAAAGTAAACAATGACATGATTGAATAAAATCAATCTTTCTGTCACATACGTTAATTACTTTGTCAAAATTTTTTTAGAATTGTTTCACACTTTATTAATGACTTTATTAATTGACCCAATCATTGAAAAATAATCACTGCATTTCTTTGTTGTATAAACACCTAGATTCCATGTAATTCAGGAAAGGTCAGTTATAAACAAAGAAGGCCGTTGAAAAGTGCATAAACTTTAATCTCACAATAAAACTGTTTGTCATTGTAGTCAAGGTTTGAGCTTTGACCTTGTTGCAAAATCATATATTAATATTTGAAAATAACTCTATATATTAGCTCTATATGTATTATTACGGTTAGTCTTATATTCCTTTTTTATCCACTTTCTTAGATGCAAGCTTCATTTTTGGTTGCTGATGACATTATGGACCAATCACAAACGAGGCGTGGAAAACCATGTTGGTATAAGAATGACGGTGTTGGATTACAGGTATAGTATATTGAATTGAAACAAAAAAATCTTAATAACTTAAAAGTATTAGCTTAATGTCATTTACTGGGTACCATTCTGCTAAATGTCAAGATACCCGTCATAAGCTGAACTTCATTATCTTCCCGCAATAAGAATAGTATGCAAGCATGGTATGTGTGGAATTTTATGGTTTGTGGGCACGCTTCAATCAGCTACCCATAACCATTCATTCCAATATAGGTGAATAAATTGGAATCTTTCTTGAGCACCCACCCATTCCATGCTTTATCTTGCTGAGTTTTTTGTTTGTAAAATTGTTTTTCAATTATAGGCCTACATTTGGGATTGGACTTTGTAGTAATTACTGGTAACATAAATATAAAAACGATAGTTTCTCAGTAATAATTTAATAATAATTTTGCAGCCATAAAAGAACTACGCACTGTTTAGTATTTGAGTAGGCTATAATACTTGTGTTGCGAGATTTTTCAAAATTTATTTTTTAGGAAAATTGAGTCACTTGAAAAAAAGGTTGGGAGCCCTTGATCTGGTATATGAGTCATGATTAGGAATTAGGATGTCAGAAAATGATACAAATATAATATACAAAGCTTATTTCAATTGTGAATATGTTAATGCCATGTGATGGTGGTTTGCAGTTCAAATTTCATACTTTTTATTCAAATGATGTTATCATTTCCAGGCAGTGAATGACAGCATGGTATTGGAATCATGTGTGTTTCTTCTGTTAAAATATCATTGTAGGCACAAGCCATACTACGCAGATTTGGTGGACTTGTTTCGCGAGGTATGTTGTATTCATTTCACTCTTACATCGTAACAAGTTGATATGGTAGGACTGAAATAATTGCTGAGTTTTCAGTCACTCTAACATTCAGAAACTTCTTTTTTTTTGTTTTTCCAGTAAAAAACATTTTGTGCCTGAAGCCATGGTGATTAGAGCTGACATGAGCAAACGACGGCCCACAAGCCAAATTTGGCTCAGCGAGTAATTCAATTTGGCCTGCCTGATGCTTCCACAACCAAACTAAAACCAAATTTTGATGCTTTAGTCAATTAAAAATATCTAAAGGAATTTTTTGAGAAAGCATTCAAATTTAGTTGTAACACTGTAAATATTGTTCATAAAATGTAACTGAATCTATTTTACGATTACCATATAATATTTACTGTTGTGTATACAGCTCACTCCTTGTTTTATTACCACAGGTTATGACATTCACCGAGCTGGGACAGAGTTTGGACATGGAAACTTCAGAGAAACCTGAAGTTGATTTCACTTATTTTACTAAGGAACGTTATTATGCAATCATCAAATATAAAACATCATTTTATTCTTTCTATCTTCCTATTGCTTGTGCACTCTACCTGGTGAGTATAGGCTGTTACTGTTACATTGATTTTACGGAATCATCACAATAAATTGCGCAGCTCATGCGGAACTATGCAGTCCTGGTTTATCAAATCTGCACATGTCTCTCTTGAATACTGAGTCATGACTAACTGATTATAAGTTAATACTTGGACCAACTGTACTGTGCATTGTGCAATGTATACCTAATCAATACTTGCAATCAATGTTTGCATTATAACTCAAAAGAAACATAACCAATTTTTTTATGAAATATTCGAAAATTATCATCTAGATTTGTTACAATTTATTAAAAGAACTGTAAATAATTCTTCATAATAATTAACAAATATTAAATAGAATTGTTTTAATGCTTGTTTAGTCTTACAATTTGTGACTCTGAATTTTACCATTTGCATTTTGATGCAACTATTTCTATTTTGTTTTATTTTATCAAAAATATTCTCTTACTCCTTGCACTAGTGTAAAATGTAAAAATACAATTTATTAATATAATGTGATCATATTTTTAACCAGACTGGAAATGCAGATGAAACGACGTTGAAAAAATCGTGTTCTATTTTAACAGAAATGGGCTGTTATTTTCAGGTATTTTCAGCATTCTTATTTAAAAAAATATCGTTAATTAAAATGTGCAGTATTCACAACTGTCAGATATGGCTATTTAATCTTGGAATCTGCACTGATTTTGAATTTGAATAAATTCAAATTTATTTTGTTGAAAGTGGTATTAGGCTCTCTTCAATCGAAGTAGATTATTTGGACATTGTATGCATCTTTTGTTACTGATCCATTCTTCCAAGATCATGCTTTATAAATGACATATGGGGCCTTCATCTTAGTGTTTGTATATTGTTCTCTTACTGACGTCAAAAGAGATAGAAACAGTACAATAGTTTCCTAATTTTGTGAGAATTTCTTCATCGTATCACCAAATCTAGGTAACATTTACTAAGAAAATTTACTATCGATTCTTAGGTACAGGATGATTTTATAGATTGTTATGGAAATCCAGACATAACAGGAAAGATCGGAACTGATATAGAATCGAATAAATGTTGCTGGTTAATCGTAAAAGCACTTGAACTCTGTTCATCCGAACAACGACAAGTTTTACAGGTAAATATAATTTTTCTGTAAGTTTCTATAAACTGTGCATCTTCCTTCTTTAGTTACTTCCTTCGAAATATTCATGTTTGCCAGTTGCCATAAGGCTGTTTTTATGAGATTTATGAGTCTAATTTCAAAGAACCAGATGTGCAAAACTTTTCAACTTTCCAAGTATTTCGTTTGTTTAGTACAAGTACATATTGGCCCTAAAATTTTTTAACATTTTATTACTTCATCACTCGACTTCATTTCATGTTGGAAATGTATAGGTATTCAGTAAATCTTCTTGGGGGTTGGTAACTCACCAGTTTGCTTGCTTTGCAGTTTGCATTGCATCGAGCAAATATTTATAAAATCAGTACATTTCTTTAATGGCTCAAAATCCGGAAGTAGTTTTTTTAAATAATGAAATTTAGGCAAAAAAAAACAAGTAATCACATTTTTGAGGACAATTGTTCCCCAATCAGTTTTTCTTTTTGATGTCTATTCATTCATTGTGGACTATTTTTCCACAGAAAAACTATGGAAAGTGGGATAAAGAAAAAAAGCGAGCTGTGGTGGATGTCTACGAGCAATTAAATTTAGAATCTCATTACCACAAGTACGAAGAAGAGACATATGCTAAGTTGTCGACAGATATCAGAGAATTCAATCATCCCAATATTCCTAGAGTTGTGTTTTTAGAACTTTTAAACAAAATTTACAAACGTAAAAAATAGTACAAATCATCTACAAGGTCAGACCCATCCGAATCACGACTTACATTTGTCACCATGATTGCACATGCACATATCTTTAATAAAGACCTGGTCTTGAGGAAGTGCTACACAAAATAATTGAAAACCCTTTTCGACTATATGTGATTGCATTGTTCGATTTCATGTTATTCTTATTTTATTTTACAAATCATTGAGCACAGAAGATATTGTTGAAAATATGAATGTTATTTATATAAATAATTTACAAATGAAGAATTTTAGCAATGTTATGAATTTGTCGCATATGACATGGACTATTTTGCAATGTTAAATTACACTCAAAGGTGGACCGTTGTGAAAAATTGTTTTTGGCTAGTCAAAAAACTTTGTGCGAACAAATTTTGGACGTCAATATGACAAATGAACAATCAATCTTCTTCAAAGTGTTGCTTGCTCTAATTATTGTCAATATTGCCGTTTTCATACCCTTGCCGATTCATTCACTGATAATCAAAACACCCAATTTTTGCGAAAACTTTGTGTACACACACAATTCAAAGCATCATAGTAGTTTTAAATATTAATTGCCAGAAATAGTGCTTTAGTGCTAATTGTTCATCAGTAATCACACAGTGTCACTTATCACAATTAGCATGTCTTTTTTCCCTGCTCAAGTCATAGAATCTACTGCCAAACAACAGTAAGGAGTAGAGATGGATGTATGGTACTAATTAATTGTCATTCGAATGACCTCCTGCATTGAGTTCAAGATATCTATACGTAACTACTGGGTGACCAAAAAATAACCCAGATCCTTTGGAACATATTCTAGAGAAAACACCAACTTTTGTGCGTTCTATATTACTGACAATTTTGGGTACAATCATACCCAAGCGGAAAGTGTTAAATTTTCGGGACAAAAATTGATCAGCTCTGTTTTTTGGAGTCACCGCATGTCAAATGCTTTACAGAAAATTGTGTAAATGCATCCGTGCAAGGATTTACAAGGAAAAAATCTATTTAGATTGTTCTATGTACTCGTTTTGTATGTAATTTGCATATGTGTGTCAACGTTCTTGTACATCCGTAACATCGGCCATTTCTGGTGTATCAAATCGCTGTGATGGATGTATGCAATTCTTTTTCAAATATCTTTATTGTGAATTTGTGGCCAGTGTGTATTTAATGGAATGTAATTTATTTGTCGTTTTCAAAAACAAAATGTAATAATGTGAGAATTGTTGAAGAATTTTTAATGTGAAGATTTGCACTGACATAGTATAAATTATTGTGTTGAGCTGTTATTGTCACTTTGAAAAATCAAACAATTTTCATGCAACACCATTTTAATGGACCATCATTATTATATTGGGTTATCGGGCTTAACAAAAACGTGCTGCAGAGTTTAGATCCTGAGATTTTTGGTGATTTTGTTTCTACTTCTGCAAATCGCACCATTCAGAAAAGTATACCTACCTAATCAAAGAAAAACTAAAACATAATCTCTACCTATACATATTATGATGGTGCTTAAAATGTCATGGGTTATTACTTGAACGGCCATAGATCTCTATAATTTTCTATTTTAATAATGTTTAGTCATTGCCAGAATCTCGATTTCTGTGTTTTATATCAGGTTGGGCCAAAAAACATTTTTGGCCCACCCATTATATCAACCTAAATAATATATCCTTAGTCATATTGTATTGTCATTTTTGACCATGTGTACCTCTATATTTGTTTAAAAATATTATTTTATCCGATTTTAGCATGAATCTGACATGTGATCAAGTTTTAAATGAGAATATTGAGCAAATAATTAAATAGTAAACCAGGTGCTTGTGTATGGGAAAAAAACTTATCATCAGCATAGCGGTGGACGCGTTGTTTGAAGATGGTTATATCCATACATTACTCTTCAGGCACAATTTACAGTAGTTATATATGTTTATATTAATTCTCACGCGGCTGCCGGGAGTCGTGCTCCAGTTGTGTTGCCAGTAACAGGGTCCATGGCTTGTGGTGCTGTAGTGTTTCAAGAACGCGCCCCGAGATGAGTTTCAGGTCAATCGCTCCAGAACTAACACTAGGTTGCAGATATGTACGCAGGGCCGGATTTATCATAGGATAGGATAAAATTCACATATTTATCCCGGGGGATAGGAAAGTTGATAAGACGACTTAATCATATGGCGAACCACGGCCTCTCATCCGGTTACCAGGTCGGGTATGGGATTAGTTAGCCAGTTATTTGTTTTTGGAAGCATGGACTTTGGCGGTGGAGAAGCCGTAACCGACCAGCGGTTATGTGAACCCCCCACGGCGCCGAGGAGTCCAGCAATTCTCTCGCACATGATCATCCCCGCATGGGATTCGAACCTGCGATCCCACGAAGGGTAATCAGAGATGCGGTGGCGAGCGTATTCCTAACGCTTAGCACGATGCGCCACACCGCCGATCATTAGGCCAAGGCGCCTCGATATTCAATTTTGGTCTAATATTCATTTTTAAGACGTTTTCAAATTTCCGGAATGAACCGGTTCGAAATTTAATACCAGCTTTATAATGCTTGTCCCCAACATTACCCATTTGAAAGGTTTGAAAATTTCTATCTCTATGGCCTTGAAAAGGAAATGTGCTAGTTAGATTATTTGAACAGTTTTTCCCTAGAATGTCTTTATTTAAAAAGAACAAGCTTTGATATAAGTAGTTTCAAAGCAATTGGTTTAAGAGAAAAGTGATTTTTTCACAGCGACATCACAACACCAGAACGGTCCATAGGTCCACATCCTAGGTTGACGAGTGTTTCCTACCAAGCGTTTTCAAAGTAAAACTTGGGTCAATCAGTCCAGCGATGGTTATATAATGATTTCACATGAAGCACCTCTCATTAGAAACCAGTTGAGATCACGTACTTTTATATTATTATGTAAAACTCGCTGAAGCAGTCAGTAAGTAATTCAGCTTCAAATAAAAAATCTGAATTGAATTTTCACGAAAAATGGGCAATGAAGAGCTATAGTGAAAGATTATGATGGTGCTGTGCTAAAATTTGACCAATCAAGGTTAGTATAACTTACATGAGGAATGTAGTCTTGAAAACAAATCTTAATGTTGCCATTTAGACCTATGCCGATATGACTTTTCTGCTGTAGCAGGAATTAGAAATGAAAATCAACAAGGTTTTACAACGGTATGCGAATCTGCTTGACAATGACGAAAACTCGCTTTAATTTATTAATATATCAAACACAGACAGGTCCGGATCAGGGCCTTTGGGGGCCTAAACGATTAAGACTTGGTGTATATGACAAAAATGGGAATCTAACTAGTGTTTCGTGTTATCTGAAATTAAATAGGTAAGTTCCAGTAATCGATACTGATTGATTAAGGCCAAATTATGATTAGCTTACATGATATTTTTTGGAAATAGTTCTCATAACAACTTTGGAGGTACCTTCTTGTTTTTGGTAAAGGATGCGCTGTGAAATTGATTCATATTAGCTGTTATTTTTGCTGATATTGTGGCATTTTACTGTGATATTTATATACTGTGCTATTTTTGTATTTGCCTGTGTGATATGATTTCTTTTTGCTATTTGATATTGATGGTCTGGTGTACTAAACAATTTCTTTTTATCATGGGTACAAGCATCTATATTCTATAGTATAGATATAGCAACTAACCCCCAAATGTACCCCATTTCATGTTGAAATCATCATGACAAAGTTAATTTTTCCCAAAATTCGAACAAAGACTTTCGTAGGAATCAAATTACACCAGTTTAAAATAACATGTTCCATCCATTCATTATCAAATTAAAATTTATATTCTCAAGACCTTTGTCACTGATTGAAATAATTATATCTGAGTTCCCATCCGTACGATGTACATAATTACCCTTATTGAGATAATAGGAGTTTCTGTTTATAACGTGAATCACGAGCTCACGTTTACAGTATTTAATAAGATTTATGATGGACGTATAAATACGACTCGTTATCTTTCAAGACGATGAATACCATTCAAAGCTAGTAGGGATAAATGTTATAAGATTTATATTCTGTGTATCGTGGAAATCTGAGAATAAAATCAAACAGAATTTACCCATTATTTATGCTATAAATGGTGACAAAACCGACTTGAATTAACCTTCTGAAACGGACCAGATCAACGGACAACAATCAGGACAGGCAACAATTGGAAGGAATCAACGAAAAAGCTGACCAAGCGAAAGCTTTCAACAATTGCCGAGAAACCGTCTATACAAAACGTGCGAAAATCAAATTCGACCAACTTACGAACGCCGGGGAGATTCAAATTGCCTGGAACAACGATTGAAGTAGCAAATTGCTGACAAGTCGAAATAATGAAGAACATTATGAAAAGACAATGATCTCAATTGAAATTCAGTTGAACTACGGTAACGGACTCTGGAAACGTTAAAATCATGAATATGGACTGTATTGAACCTCGATCGAAATGAGCTCTTTTAGAACATGATATTCGTTCGAGGTGAAAAACCTAATCAAAAAACGAACTGTTGAAAACAATGAACTATATGGTCTGTTTTACGGTAAATCACGCGCTCTATTCCGAACAATAGAGAAATTGTCGCGCTTACCTAATGGATATACAGATCAGGAGCATGTCATCCTACAATTTGTTTCGTGATTTGCAGGTTTTTCTCCTCATTGAGACAGATATTTTTCATTCTTCCACTAATACTAAGGTAAAGTACTTCTTTTTCTTATATATACATGGCGTTTCATTCGACTTTCAATTTTTATAAATTAATTAATGGTAACAACTTTGAATATTTTAATTTCAAATACCTTTCAGAGATTTATATTATTAAATATTTGTGGTTAACATTCCTTTTCGATTAAATAGATTTCGTTATCATTAAAATGCTCTCTAAAAGTAGATTCGAGCGAGTCATACTTTTAATTATTTACAAAGCCGTCATATAGAACGGTGAAATAATAAGCTCGTTAAACAAAAATTGTATCAAAAGCGTTATTTTTTCAAAAAAGCCCTGAGATGGCATAAACTTAAAAATGCGTTTTTTCTTCCCGACATGGGACAAGCATATATTGACCAACTAGGTCGCAACGCGTTTTTTCTTCCCGACATGGGACAAGCATATATTGACCAACTAGGTCGCAACGCGTTTTTTCTTCCCAACATGGGACAAGCATATATTGACCAACTAGGTCTACAAAATCGTAACAATGCGATAATGCGAGCATTGAGTATTTTAGCGTAGCGAAATACATCAAATTGAAAATATGTTTTAACCGTCCAAACCAAAATTTTTCAAATCAAAATACGCCATCCTTCTGTAATTCTACTTTACAACCTTTACCCTTTCTATAAACTTTTCTTTACTTCAATGTCTTGTCTCATTGTAGATCATATACATGTAAATATTTTTTTTGACCTATATCATTAATTTTAGCATTGTGTATTGTATTTTTCTATATATTTTCAATTTATTAGAGGTGCCAAATCTTTAAACTTCCAGTTAGTAAGATGGGGAGATAATATAGCAACTAACCCCCAAATGTACCCCATTTCATGTTGAAATCATCATGACAAAGTTAATTTTTCCCAAAATTCGAACAAAGACTTTCGTAGGAATCAAATTACACCAGTTTAAAATAACATGTTCCATCCATTCATTATCAAATTAAAATTTATATTCTCAAGACCTTTGTCACTGATTGAAATAATTATATCTGAGTTCCCATCCGTACGATGTACATAATTACCCTTATTGAGATAATAGGAGTTTCTGTTTATAACGTGAATCACGAGCTCACGTTTACAGTATTTAATAAGATTTATGATGGACGTATAAATACGACTCGTTATCTTTCAAGTGGAAGACGATGAATACCATTCAAAGCTAGTAGGGATAAATGTTATAAGATTTATATTCTGTGTATCGTGGAAATCTGAGAATAAAATCGAACAGAGTTTTCTAAAGTTTCCTTCATTCACGTGGGCGTTGAAGCTGAAGGGTGAACGGGTAACTTGCAAGTCAGAGACAATCTACGAAATAGCAATATACGGTAACATCACATTCATCTAACAACCATTTATGCTATATACACATTCAAGGTCTTGAAAATATAAATTTTAATTTGATAATGACAGAACTTGTTATGTTCTTAAACGTGGAGAAATTTGATTCATACGAAAGTCTTTGTTCGAATTTTTGGAAAAACTAACTTTGTTTTCGTAATTTTAACTGAAATGGGAGTAAAACTCCGAAATCGGGGTAAAATCATGAGGGTTATTGCTATAGTCACAGTCAATCAATTCTAGAAGAAATCGAGATGTTTTACATCATCAATAATAGTGATTTTCAAAAAATGGTTATGTTTCTGGCATCTGATCATAACCTAATCTCCCTCTAAGGAGTACTGTAAGGTGGCTGTCTCGTCATTTTGCTATAAAAGCGCTTGTAATAAACTATGATGTATACTTATTGAATACTGCAAAGAACAATAAATTCGTGATCCAGTGGCAGTTTTCTGCTTTGAAAAACTGGAATGCAAATCAAAGCTAATTTGTTTGTGCTAAACGATATTTTTTTTATAAGGGCTTGCAGATTTATCAAGGGCATTTTAAAAAAAAGCGATATCACTCCAAGCACAAGCAGTCGCTCACAGCAAGATTGCCAAGCTTCAGACGCATCATTTGAGTGAACACAAACACTGGAATATGACTGCCCAAGAGTTGATAAATTGAGCAACATTAACTATGGAAGAATTACCTCCAGTAGTCAGATTTATTGAAAGACTCTGTACTCACTTGAAAGACCTAT